TGTCCGCCTTCCTGCGGCTTCCGCCAGCGTTGACAGCGTAGCTCTATGTGCACGTAAGCGCGAGGCGCACAGCATCTATACAGTTATTATCTGAAAATGTTAAGGTGGTAACAAAAGCAATTACAACAATAGCAAAAACAACAACAACAAACGTTTGCATTCAGCAACAAAAATAACTAGATTGTTAAGCGTCTGTCGTGGGATGAAGATCACATTTTATAATGACAAGTCGACTTGCTGGCGTTTGTTTGCATGAACCCACTGCGCGTTGCATGCCACACAACACATATCCATATACATATGTATTCATTTGTGTGCTCTATGGGTCGACAGACATTTGTAAAACAACAAATCAGCTATGTCACACTTTCATGATATAACAACAACCCAAATAGCAACAACTGTAATGGTCAATAAGTGTTGATGTTGTTGCATGCCACATGCTAGCGGCAATGCGTATTCGTGCGCCTATGCATAGCTTTAGTGGCATAGCTTTAGTGAATGCCTTCATATGTGTATTAGTTCTGGTATATAAAAAACTCTATGCACAGCATCGTCCATATAATCAGGAGTAAGGAAATTGTGAATGAAAATTTTATTTTTTCAATGTGTCGAACATTTTATGAAATTATATATTTCCCAATTTGATCTAAAAGCTTTTACCATCTTTCCGGCAAGGGTTTGATTGCACGCTCATATAATTTTTCATCCTTGCAGGTCCACGTGGTTTTTGACGCCCTGATTTGTGGTAAGAGAGAACCTTTAACAATAAATTTTACAGAGACCGCAACAAGTAACAGTCCGAAGGTGCCAAGTCTTCAGAATATGACGGGTGTAGTAACAAATCCCATTCAAGATGGAAAAGCTTTTSGCGAGTCATCAAACTTCTATGAGATGCCACACASGTCAGAACAGTTCACCTTTTCTATTGATTTAGTCTCATATGTTTGAGTGTAACACTCAATCGGTCCAGCTGAGCACAATACATTTCAGGATTAATCCTAACCTTTAACCGTTTTACCTTTTTTGGTTACCATCGGCTTTCGAAGAATTTTGAGCTGGTTTATTCTCCTCATAATCTCTTACACATACAWTTTTGATAACAACCCACTTTTCGTAACAATGTGCTTCAAAAGTGGTCCACTCCTTCGATGGTCGGTAATCAGACAAACCAAATTTTATGAACCCATATGTCAAGTTTCGAAATTAAGCCCAGACGTTTCAGACTATATTTTATCGACAGCGGCTTCACGAGTTCTTCCAGGACGCAACATCGAGGTGCATCTTCAAAGCCGAAATTGCTGGTCGGTCCAATAATCTTCTCCGACCTCACAACATCATCTTCGCCTTGCTTAAACTAAATTTTAACCATTTTGATAGTAAAGGAAATAGGAAAATAGATCGAAAATGATGTTTCCGAACTTCCATATTCCATCAGGCACCAAACAAAAATTATATTCAAGTTTAAGAAAGCAGAAAAGCGGCGAAGTTGGCTGTGAAAAAATTCTAAACATCTTTTTAATGTTGAGTTGTTTGCAAATTAAGTCTTATCCAATAAATCAGTCTTATTCAGTAAAATACCTGATATTTTTCCACCCCAGCTGCTCAATGTCTCTTTAGTTGGAGTATTGGGATCAGTGGAAAATATCTCATCTCAACCGGGTGAAAGCAGGGTATTCACAAAGGAAATGTTATGGAGCCTCATCATCATCTGCGCATATTCTGAATTCTGCCGTATCCATTTTACTAATTATTTGAAGGTGGGATCTTAGGAGGGTCTAGAAGGTTCTGTTCTCTATCAGTACTAACCCAAAGTAATTTCGCGGTATACYCTGTGTTGCTAGTGTTCCAAGACCATTCGCGTTCTTTCACAGACCATTGCTTCCAGCAACTCTTGAAAGAGCTGGATGGGCAGCTTACAGGAATTGTGTTCCTGGCTGCCCCTGAGCAGGAAAAATCAAGGATAATAATATTGTTATATTTCAAATGTAACTTGCTTGTTCAGCTACTTTTTCTAGAAAGCAAGCGAACTATTTTAAAATATCATTCCCAAACCAAAACTACCTTCCTGTCACTATAACTATGCGGCGCACTTTGCGTGAATAATGGCGACGCGTTAAAAATCAATGAACTGAAATTGTGCCCGACAGCACAGTCAACCCATCCGAACAGCCTTGCGCCATTGTATTCACATATAGTTAGTATGTATGTAAAACATGTATAGCTGTTCATTGACAGTGCAAGCTCTACCTGGGCSGACATAAGGGCGCATTTAGCGCACTCACGCTGTGCTTCTGTTTTTCCATGTTTCAAATTTTGCATTTGTTCGCTTTTGCACATACATACATATGTCTGAATTAAGTGTGCATAGGTGCGTGTGCGCGGAGGCGAGTCACTTTGGATGTGTGCTATCTACACCGGTAATTACTGCCACGTGACAATGAAAATTACTCGCTGTTCACATTTCTGTTGCATTGTACCCACACCATTGTTGTACGAATTTCGATGCTTCTAGGTTTTGTTGTTGTTTTGGTTTCTTCACAAAAAAACTGGATAGAATTTAAAGATTTCTAAACTTTAAATTTTTTGTTTAAATTTTTTAATTTGGAGTAGAATTTAGTAAAAATTAAATTTTACTATTGAAATAATAAATCAATCTAAAATTAAATACTTGAAAGTGCTTCTAGTATTTGGTAGTACTCTATAAAAAATATCGATGAAATGAGGACTTTCTCTAAACAGATGACTAGCAAGAGAGTAGTCAAGGTTATTCAACCTGTTGAGAGCTCTGGAGCAAAATCTGCTGCAGCATTGGCGTCTTTAGGTGAATTGTTCACAAGGACTTCCGGACACAACTAAATAAGCAGGAGATTGGTAGATAAAATAGACCACATAGCCTCACGCTTTATTTGGGATTGAAAGGGGATTCCAGCTAAAAGTAGGTGGATGGAGACGGAGGAGACGGATCAAAATGGTTAATGGGATCCCGAAYTTATTACTTGAAGCTGGATCTCAAGCGAACTCTCAAGCTTTCCGTGTCTTCCAGACGTAATTCTTTGCGATCAAGAAATCGACTGATATTGCTAACAACGTAGAAACCAACATAAAGAGGATAAATTTAAACGTCGATAACCAAGCGGCAATTACGGCAGTAATCTCACATCTCATTACTTCAGAAACTGCCCTTAGAAACAGAAAGGCAGTAGATGTATATACATTTACAGAGTTCTAGGTCACAAAGTAATTCCTGGAAACTAAAGAGCTGATAAGATTGCCAAAAATGMCGTCCGTCTGTCTACGAAAATAGTACAGGAAAGATGGAAGTCGCTAAAAATGATATACAATAGAATTTCTGAAAAAACGTAGAGACGGATCAGGGCGTGCTGGAATGCTTTAAGGTCCTGCAGGATCGCCTTGATCATGTAGAAGAAAGCTGAAGGAAAAGCCTAAGCTAAGATGGCAGGATGTTTGTTGACTTAATGMCAGGTCAGAAGTCGTCTTAAATTTCTAGGAGCCACGCAGTTCAAGRGACTAGGTGAAGTATCAAAATTAGATATCAAGGTGCTTTTAAAATTCGCGAGAAGCGWAGAGGTGCTGTATGACGAGTACTTCAGCTCAAATTAAATTCAACTTCCATCTGTCATTATTAAGGATATAGACATCTATGTATGTTATGACTGCCGGGCAGTATAGCTCAACCTATATTAAAATTCATAAATCCAACCTTTAAAACTAATTGATACATCAGTGTTTTTCTGAAGTTCGCAGAAATCACCTTGATAAGGCTGTCATATTAAGTGAGTTCCTCAAAGTTCTTTAATATAATTCCCCAGATTTTGTTTCTTTAAATTTAGCGTATATCGTTTAATCGTAAATATTACTGATATTCGTATATAAAAGTTACTTTCAATTTTCCAAAACTACATTTTCTTAAGTCATTTTAAGTGTGTTATACACTTTAACCGCACTTTTTCAATTTGCAAACCACTTGCTGTCCTTTGCATTGCCCGAACTGCTTAGAGCAAAGGGTTGCTGCACTCGGCCACTATAAACCTTCATAAATATTCAAATGAAATTTTCATTTAAAACTCTGAAGCGAAAGGAAAAAGAAGTTGACAGACACCAAATGCTTTAGATTGAGTACAAACAGCAGATGGCGCTGTGTGGGGCCAAGCAGAGGCTAATGGTAAGTGAGTGATGCAGAAGGAAGATACCAAGTGATGCGGCTTGATTGTACGCAAATGCAAGCTTGAGTGTATGTGACACAGCAAGTGGCAATAGAAGAACGGCAAAGGCCAAACAAACGAAAGATAGTAACATAAATGGCACAAACACAGGCTGGAACGACTACGACAGAGAAGGATGAGAACATGAATATACAGAGGCAGTAGATTTTCTACGCCAGCCTGCAGCGAATATATGGGGACGCAAGGCACATATGCCGACTGTTGAACTGCCGTTCGCAGGCGATCCAAAGCTTACGAAGCGAAGATGAAAATATTAAAATGAATAAATAAAAGCGTTGCAAAAGCTTTCTTGCAAAGGACACTTTGCAGGCGTTGAGCTCGTAAATAAATCAATGGACAATTTTTATTATGCCCAGGCAAGCTGGCGAGGCACAGTAGTGGCTAACAGGCAGGCGTGTGTGTGTTTGTAAGAAATTCTGTCGTCAGCACTGGCGACAAAGACGCTCTCGACAATCACACCAGCTCATCTCCACAGCGCTGCAATMGTGAGTGCGTCCATCACATCAACTGCATTTGTGGCGCTTTGCATTGTAGTGACATTGGGTGTGTTCGCTGCAAAGCAATCTAAATAAATTTACAGGTCTATAAATTGTTAAAGCGCATAAGCATGCACWTGTAAATAAATTTGCAATAGCGCATATTTACTTGAAGTCTGTATCTGATTCTTTCAATATGCTCGCTGCTCTCGGTTTCGAAAAGCGGAAATTTCTTTACTTCCTTTCTGTGTTACGTAACCGGTTATAGCTGTGCATATAATTTGAAATTGGCATTTGTTTATTTCGAGTGTACTAAGAAAACTATAAACTTTATAATGTTGTTGTTTCTGCTTTATTCATCTCCATTTTAGAGCTCAATTATTCAATTTTCCATTAGTGGTTGACATTTATTTTCAAAGTTCGCTGGTCTAACGAATTTATTTCTTGCAGCAGTTGTCCTTGGCACCGCTCTTGCAATTGCATTTGCATTGCTGATCGCAGGGGCAGCCATCTCCGCACTTAGCTGCAGTGCATTTGCAATCTGGTGAATGAAAGAAAAATTTGATTTTTAATATGGAAAATTATTATAAATACATTTTTAAACAATTACTTAACGCAAATGTCTTCATCGTATAATATTTACGCTTAAAATACATTGTATTTACCATAAATCGTCAATAATATTGATCAATAAAAATAAAATTGCGCAATACAGTGAAAATATAGAATACAAAATATTTAAAAAAGACARCAGTTTAAAGTTAAAACTTCAATATTATTGATCAATAAATATAAAATGTGTAGTTTTAAAGTAAAAAATAATTTATATAGAGAGTAGTTTTAAGTTCAATCTTAAAAATCTAATATAATTATTAGACGCAAAATAATATTGATCAATAAATTTAAAATATCTGTTATGAGCAAATCGAATTTTTTTTTTTAAAATGTTCATATTTATATTTACTGTCACACAATAAACTAAACAAGCTTAAAATGTTAAAGTTTGTCAAATCCCCCTAGCTAAATCTCACCATGGCGACATGTTAAGTCTTGAAAAATATTGATCTAAAAATATCAGAATTTCGAGGTGATGTAGATCAAATGTAGGCTTGGCAAATATTTTTTATAGACAACAGCTTAAAATTTAGTGTCAATAATATTGATCAATATATTTTTTAATTTTGGTGTTTCTGCTTTTCCATCGTCAAATGTTTATAGTTTATTTACACTGTTTGTTTTCATCAAAAWTATTGATCAGTATTTTATTAATTTTTATATTCCTGGTCTTCTTTCGTAAACTGTTCACATTTTATTTAAAGTTCACTTAGTATTTGTTTAATTTCTACGTAAAATCTTGTTYCCTATTGCTGTTCCCGTTGTGAGTCATTGAACAAGTTGCTATAAATTATACATGTGTACCAATTTTGATATCTCTAAAACGTAAGCACTCCTTAGCTTTTGAATCGAATCAGCTCACCTTATACATAATCTTAGAGTAGATACTGATCAATATCGATTTTTGGATTTTCTGAGAAGATCTCACTACTTTAGAGGTCTTGTAACTGATTAAAATGATGATGACTACTCGGCATGTTTCTAAATAAGGTATATATTTTTACGAATAGAGTTCTAGTAATGCTTCAATTAATACTATCCATAGTATTAGATGGTAAACAGCTAAATTATGCAATAATATTGCAGAAAAGTAAATATATAAATATTGCGCGAGAAAATTAAAAAAATATATTGAAAAGAAAATGTAAAATTCTACARCTACACCTAAAATAGAGCATTGAATAAATATTGAACAATAAAATTTTACAATAATATTTTGAGCATTCTAATGGTAGTGTCATTTTAACCTCCATATCTTATTCACAATTTATTTCTTAAAATTGTCAATATTGGTAAGTATGTATGTAATATTGAGCACACTAAAATTCTAAGATAAATATACATATTCATTCTTGTTTTCTCCACATACCTTTACAACACGCTGGACAACCCATTTTTCTATAGTAAAATATTTAGAATTCGTAAAATATATTTGGACGAAGTTGTCTCTATGATTCACTTTCTCAAACTATACTTCCAATTACAAACGATYGGTCTTTTTATAAGAGTTGCATTTACAAATGCGTCGTGTGTAAACTTATAAAARCGATTGCAAGCACTGGCACTTCCATATGTGAGCAGCGCCACTTGGGAGCGTGCAGTGCGCAATATTTTTGCATTCTCCACCCAAGTTAAGCGTTGTACTTTTTTGCACTTTACTGTTACATTTGGCACAATTTGTTTATCAAGCGAGCCCCTTAGCGSTTATTTGCTTAGCTGGCTCATTTAGCCGTGTGCATCTACGCTTCGGCGAATACTCCAATATTATACTAATAAAGCTATAGTACATAAGTAATATTTTACTGTTAGTATTTATTTTTGCACTCCGCYAATTGCCGGTGATAAGAAATTGTTGTACTCAACTTTGTATTTTATGCGAAATGAAAATTGTTTACAGTTTCTGTGGTGCCGTGTGGTTGTTGGTACTTTTGGATTCACTGATAAATGATAAGGCAAGTAAACAGTTATACATATGATATTATTGAAAAGCGATAATACGTGACGTTTTGCTGATATAGCGGKGAATATGCCACTGTTATGAAGAATAGATAAAATTATGTGACTAAATTACAATTTACTAGCGCAGCTCTAAGACTGAGTTCAATTTCAGCACGCTGTGTAACATAAAACATTTTGTTTGCAAGCGGCATTTCATCTATGATGGGAAATTGCAGAAATTTATAAAATTTTTCCATCTTCCTTTGATCAAATTTTTTTATGAAACTATGTATACATATAATATTATAAATGGGATTACTTAATAAGTATTTTTGAGAAGTGTTGGCCTCGATTTACATAATTTATCGTATTTTTTAGAAAGTAAAATATTACAATTTGAGAACTAAATAAAAAAAAAAAACTTTATATGAGTGATATGTGGGCTAAATAATATATTGACTCGATTTAACCCATTTTTGACTYATAGACTTACTATTATGTATTAGGAAATAATTTGCTCCGAAATTCTCACACATATTTTCGATTTGTTTCAAGAATCTCTACTGGAGCAACCTAAATGTTGTATTTGTGGGCTAGAACAGTTATGGTCCGAGTTTGAAAACTTACAGATTTGAAATAATCCAAATTTGCATAGTGAAAGTATTCATATGGAATTTAAAATTGTGTTATATGCGAAGTAGACCTATTTTTTTTGTCTGTTTTCGCCCATTTTCGCATTGTGCTGTAGTACTGTCAGGGTAATAATATCTGCTAAATTTGGTTGGAATCGCTACAGTAGACCCCGGGGTATGTGTTTTCACTTTAATATGGGCGGTTCCATGTCCATCGTCCAAATTTAATATCGGCTCTTATAAAGCTCTTTATTACCATCCGGGATGTGAGATGTGCACTTGTAGAGATTTTGAATGTATAATTTGAATGACTTGGGAGATATATGTATATACATACATTTGCTTCGGGCCGTACTCAGTTTCTAAAGACAATAACGCATGAGAGAATGAAAACAGATGTGGTATAAATTAGATGTTGATTGGCAGCTGTTTCAAAGTTGTAAGATTAACTTCGGCAGCATCAGAAGTAGCGTTGGAAAGCGTTGTATTCAATTTATAGTAAATATAAGTATTTTAAAAGTACAATAAAATGCTGTGTGCTAGTTGTGGGAATGGTAAGTATTTTTGTTTTTAATTAGAAATGACTTAATGTAACTAATTATTTTTTGTAATAAAGAAATAAGTTTATCTTTAAATACCTTTATTCAATAATTGCCAATGTACTGCCTCGAAAAGTACAATTGCGGTAAGGAGTGCAAATGYCAAAACAATTAGGAGCATGGCGAAGTGGACAAAGTGAGAAAAATGAAGAAATGCGAAAAATGGCGTTTTAATTCATACCAAACCGTAAAAAGTAAATACTTTTTAAGCCGTTATACATACAAGATTATTAAATACATAATGAATATTAGAAAAATTGAGTGATAACTCCTTTTTTAAGTTAGGAACCTTGGAATCAAAATTTCCACTCAATAATCTAATGAAAGCACAGTCTCTCGCACGTGTTTGGTATAATTTCGCGAAGTTGACCGCCTCTTTCGCAAGTCTCCGAAGCGATGCAGGCCGCGTTGCCATCGGGCACTTTAGCAGCCGGGAGGTGGCCCGGGATTCCCGTAACCATCTTCATGAAGACTATAGATATAACCATACATACCCGATTTCATTCATCACGGGAGATATCTCCATCCCCTCTCCTACGGTCAAACATCTCAAGTTCAATGGAACCTGTAAGTTTATAGCTGTTCCGCTGTTGTCCGTGGCTTATTGTCAACAAACGCTTCCGTATCCTGCGTCCTCTGTCGTATTAGCAGATTCATCTCCACCGCTCAGCATTCTCTTGGCCTACATAAGTGTGTTCGCATGCTATCCAGATTTATGTCCAGCATTTTTTCCACTGTAGCATATAAATATTTCATTTGCTAAGCGATGATCTGATTTGATATTTTCGCTGCCGTTAAGCATTTTTTTGCGAGATTCCTCTACTGTTGCTGACGGTTCCACCTCTCTTAGTAGGCCTACTTTCACTACCAGTTGGTAGGTTGTAGCCACCTCCCACTGCTTTACCACACCCTTCGAGGAGAATTCGCATACTTAAATTACCGTCACTCTTTCTAATGATTGCCCGACGGAGTCACTGTATGATTCTGACCTACTTCAGCCTACGTCCCTTTTAGTTTTATAGATTTCATTTTTCATGATAGAAAGGTAATCACTTAATTTTAATATGGAGCCTTTATGTGGTGGAGGACCATACGTGCAATGAAATTCGAGAGAGTTTAACGGCATCATGCCCAAAGTTCGGATAGTCATCGTCGGAAAATGTATGGATGTGAAAGTTGCTATCAGACTGAGAGATTCTGGGTTCTTAGAAGAAAACGTGCCTGAGCACTCGAAAATCCTCCACACTTTGACTTTATACCGGATTACTAGGATCTTGGAGTCGTCAACCGAACTCTGGCGGCTCCTTCTCTGCCCATATAACGGTGTTGTAGTTGTGGGCTTGTGGGGAATGTTGGAGGAGGTGTTACCTGTCAGGCGCTCTCTTTCAACTCCAGCGTCAGACTTCCTAACCAATACAGTATTTTCCAAGCAAAGGTTGAATTCGTTATTAAGGTAGYAGTAGATTAACTCTCCGGAATGCAGCCTCCTTCAGAAAAGTGATTCAGATAGCAGGGCGGCGATATTAGCCTTGTACTCATTAACAGTACGTTCAGGTTTAGTCAAGCACTGCCTAACTCCAGTGCCTTTGTCGTAAGACTTATATGGGKGCCAGACCACAGCGGAATCGCAAGAAATTGTWAAGCTGATGAACTAAAAGGGCAAGGCATCCTAGGRCCGCTATCAGTAGAATGGAACGGGTCGGTGCTACTGTATCGTTTGGTTTTTTAATACTAACATAATGGACTAAGCTTGCCCAGCGCTGGTCCATTATAGGTGCATACGCTGTTGCAAAATCCTTTGGACCGAAACTGATAACAAGAGATCTAGTGATCTCTTTGCCTTTGGTAAGGCTTCTAGTTCTGGGGCTTTTAACAGGCTATTGCCCTATTGGCGTCCATGCTGTAAGGTTGGGAATCTTACCAGACGCTTYTTGCAGAAAYTTATGAAAGAAGATGAGGTGGAAACAACTCAACMTTCCCTTCTTGACTAGTGTGCAAAYTTGTTTTGTCTACTGAGCGTTTGCTACTTTATAAGTTCGAACACAGGAGTTCTTCTTTTCTACGGCTTCACAAAGAACTACATATAACAGATCATGTGCGATCTCTCTACCTCAGCCATCGAACCTAATCTAAAGTTAGGTTAGCACTCAGAGCCGCCATCCATWTATCGAAAAGGTAGTTGCTTTTCATGGTTCCAATATTACCTTAGTAATGGGGCCAAGACGAGACTTGATGCTCGACCATATGAGATGGTTATGAGTGCTTGTTCACAGGGTGGCAGACCCTAGTAGCTAAAATCATTGGAAAACAAAATTGATAGATTTCATCTTTTAAAAGGTATGGATACAACCAACGGTGTTGGTTCAGTTAACGTCTTAACCGACAAATAGACGTGACACACACGCTCAGTTCYTAATTACTGAATTATTTTGAAAGCTTTTCCATGTCCAGGGCTTGGTTTTTCTTTGCCAGCTGCCCTTATATTTCCCAAATTTTTTCTTGATTGTAGCTCAAGTTTCAACCTAGACTAGAGTGCTCAATCAACATTGCCTTAACTTGCATTTCTAGATAACGTTTTTTTACTCCTAAAAAGCAAAATTATAATCTCCAAATATATAAGAAAAAAGAAAAAACTGACATCCCTCCGTGTGGCATTATAATTTGCKTGTTAAATGCTTCGCTGTTCCCAGAAATGTTCCCACAACGTTCACAACTCATAGAAAATAATTTAAATGGCTGCCTTATGCCACCGCCGCCGTGTTGAGCGCCGCGACATTGCTACACATTGAAAAATAATTACATGCTCGTTGGCGCGAAATTGTCGGTGGGCCGAAGTTGGAACTCCCCTGTTGACAGCCAATCGCCGGTGCGCTGAGCGAGCGGAAAGTCACGCGCGAAAATCAATGCTACTTAAAATATGCAAATTTTTATTTCCGCGACAATTTCAATTTCAATTTCTGCTCAAGAAATTCCCCAAACATCACACATAATAACGGTAAAACGCGGACATACATTCAACATATAACGGAACTTTGAAAGTTGTGAACGGATATCAAAAGGAAAAGTTGAACGCGCGGAGTAAAGCGGTGCTCCTGTATGTGTATGTGTGTGTCTGTGTGTGTATGTGTTGTTGCCGCGCTGTTATACACACGCACTTTTCAATTCTTTTTTGCGCGTTTCCTTGAGGCGACGACTACTATAACGGGAATTGCCCTCAATAGTGTCGTTAACGCGAGCGTGTGCAAATTCTCATATATCGAATGGTGTTTGTATGTATGTGGGTGCGGCATGCAAACTACCTTCATAATAATAAC